TCCAGGATCTGGCAAGCACAAAGCCTGGCACTTCATCAGCTCCATTCACTATTAATGCACATCAGAGCGATGTGGCCTGTGTGTCCCTGAACCAGCCAGGCACTGTGGTGGCCTCAGCCTCCCAGAAGGGTACCCTCATTCGTCTTTTTGACACCCAGTCCAAGGAAAAGCTGGTGGAGCTTCGAAGAGGCACTGACCCTGCCACCCTATACTGGTGAGCAGAGTGTATGTGTGGTGGGCAGGCGCCTCACAGCACAAGTCACCATGTTGGACATCATTACTGGTCTGTCTTGCAGCATTAACTTCAGCCATGACTCCTCCTTCCTCTGTGCTTCCAGTGACAAGGGCACTGTCCATATCTTTGCTCTTAAAGACACCCGCCTCAACCGGCGCTCTGCGTGAGTATCCTCACCCTATCCCTATCATCCCCCTGGCCATGTGCCATACCTGGACTTACCAAACACTGCCTACAGGCTGGCTCGTGTGGGCAAGGTCGGGCCTATGATTGGGCAGTACGTGGATTCTCAGTGGAGCCTGGCCAGCTTTACTGTGCCTGCTGAATCAGCATGCATCTGCGCCTTTGGTCGAAATACTTCCAAGAATGTCAACTCTGTAATTGGTGAGTGACAATAGCCCCCTTGGTTTGTGGTACTACATGGGTAAAGGACTGCGGCGGGTTGGACCTAAAAGAATTTAAGGGTTTTCAGAAGCTGGAAGGAACTGGAATGTGTGGCTCAACCTCATAATTAGTAAGGGGTGTGGCACTTGGGCAAAAGCCATGAGCCGTGGTGGGACACCAGAGAGGACTGGAGTATGTGGCGGGGCATCTCCTAACCTTTCATAACACCTCAACCCTCCCTAGCCATCTGCGTAGATGGGACCTTCCACAAATATGTCTTCACTCCTGATGGAAACTGCAACAGAGAGGCCTTTGACGTGTACCTTGACATCTGTGATGACGATGACTTTTAAGAGCCCTGGCAGCTGTACTAGGAACCTGCAGTAGCAGATGGCCAAACTGAGTCTTGAGGGTGTTGAACCAACCAGCAAGCATTAATGAGGCCTCCCACTCTCCACTCAAGCACAGCTGTGTATAAATAAACAGCTCACTTCCCCCAAGCACTTCTTTGTGACAGTGCTGAAGGCCAAGGACAGATTCCCTGGGCCACCTAGTCTGGAAAACATTCACAGGGACCCAAAAGGATTGTCGTAATCCAACCTGGGGATTTAAAAAAGAATACCAGGAGATAGCCTCTGTGATGTATATGAATAAAGGGCCTTTAAATGGCATTTATGACTTGACCTCAAGGGTGGGGCATACTTTTCCTGGAGCAGGGTGACCTGGGCTCCTCACAGGAAGTGGAATATAGCTTGGGATTTGACTTCCTATTCTTATTAGTCTGTTCAGCGTTGAGTCAACGCACAGCTTGCACAGTCCCGGCGTCACAGTCTGGCGTGGTGCCCTGCCCAGGGGTGAAGAGAAGTTCCAGTTTTGAGCTTCTTACCGCGTGGCGAAGCTTGGTTTCCCGGCAGTCTCTGCTACCATAGTTGGTGGTTTCTGGTGACGTTGAGGTTTGCAGCTGCGCAGTACGCCTACGTTGATAGACGTCGCCCCCTAGACTCTATTTCCCAATGTGCCTCGCGGGTGCCGTGAGGGGTTGCGGGTGTTGTAGTCTCGCCGCCCTTCGGGCTGGTCCAGCAACCCGCAGGATGTCGGAGGTGCGGCTGCCACCGCTGCGCGCCCTAGACGACTTTGTCTTGGGGTCTGCGCGTCTGGCGGCTCCTGATCTAGGCGATCCACAGCGATGGTGTCACCGCGTCATCAATAATCTCCTCTACTACCAAACCAATTACCTTCTCTGCTTCGGCACCAGTCTCGCTCTGGCCGGGTGAGGGAGGGAGGTAGTGATTGGCTGAAGATACTAGCGGGAAGTAGGGTGGACTTGCGGGTATTTGAGGATGAGGAGAGGGGAACCTAAGGGGACATGCTAGGCTGGGAAGGGCGAATTCGGTAGAAAAGGAAGGTCTGAGGGGCATGGATGGAAGGATTTGAAGGAGGCAGATTTTTTGTTATAAGGAGGATTGCGGGGGGGGGGGGGGGGGGCGCGGAGGTGAGAGAAGACCTGGGTAGGAAAGGGGGGAAGGGGGACTGAAGAGGAATGTGGGCTAGGAGGTGGACCTGGATTTAAGGAAGGCCTGATATGGGGATGTGAGAGTACTTAAGAGGTTCAGTGATGTGAGTGATGGGGCAGATTAAGGGAGCCCTGGAGGGTTTAAGATAGAAGTGGGGGTGTAGTAAAGACAGGGTTTGCAAGGTGAGTTTGTAGAGAAGAGCCTGCTCATATTGGGCCCAGAGGGAGGACCCAGTGTTGAGAGGCTGGAAGCCAAAGACAGACAATCTAGAAGAGGGACTTGGGCAGGGTTAAGCCTGGGACTGAAACCAAGGACGGGATCGTTCAAGCAACTGCAGGAGGGTGGTTCTATATGAAAATGGGGGGTTGGGGATTTAGCTCAGTGGTAGAGCGCTTGCCTAGCAAGCGCAAGACCCTGGGTTCGGTCCTCAGCTCCAGAAAAAAAAAACAGAAAGAAAATGGGGTAGTGGAGGGCCTTTGGAAGGAAAGGACACCTGGGAAGTGCCTAGTCTGCAAAGAGAAATATGTATTGACTAAAGGCCTTGGTGAGGGATCTCCAAGGCTTAAGGTCAAGGAAAGGAATGTGGGAGCAGACCTGGGAATACTAGAAAGAAACCCTGCAGGTCTAAAGCCAGAGACCAGAGAAGTTTTGGGAGCCCAGGACCTCTGGCAGGATATGAGGATCTGATAGGACGGTGGTACCGAGGAATTGAGAGTTCACAGGAATCCCTGCAGGATGGACTGGGTGAGACAGGCCTGGTGAGACTATCTGCTAGGATGCTGATTCTGGAGCCAGAAAACAAAACTCTCGGGGTCCAGGATTGGGTGGATGGTGAGGCTCGCTGAGTGCCCTTGTTCCTGCAGGTACATTCGTCCACTGCACACCCTCCTGAGTGCACTGGTAGTGGTGGTGGTTCTCGGGGTGCTGGTGTGGGCTGCTGAAACCCGCGCGGCTGTGCGCCGCTGTCGTCGCAGCCACCCGGCTGCCTGCCTGGCTGCAGTGCTTGCCATTAGCCTCCTCATTCTCTGGGCCGTGGGCGGCGCTTTCACCTTCCTGCTCTGCATCACGGCTCCGGTGCTTTGTGAGTCTCTACTCTCCTTGTTCTAGCTGGGGAAATGGACAGCTCATGCTTGGACACCAGGCCTGCCCTGCACTGGTTCCTGGGCCAAGAGGGGACTGGAAAGCCTGGAGGACACACGTGCCTCCATTAAGTGGCTTCCCTGGCTTTGCTCCCTCTCCTGGGAGAGAGCTTTGCTCCCTCTTTATTAGCTTTGTGGGTCTTCAGTGTGAAGTGCCTTAAACTGTCCAAGTCCTGATTTACTGGACCTGGCCACATCCCACAGAGCAGGCTAGCCTGCCTCTGGGTCAATCCCCCCATTGTGGGCTGCAAGCTAAGGCCCCTCCCTGACCCACTCTTGGTATCGCCCACAGTGATCCTGCTGCATGCTTCACTGCGCCTGAGAAACCTTAAAAACAAGATTGAGAACAAGATCGAGAGCATTGGTCTAAAGCGGACACCAATGGGGCTGCTCCTAGAGGCACTGGGACAAGAGCAGGAAGCTGGATCCTAGGACCCTGGCATCTAGACCCGGGATCTAGACAACCCCCACCCCATACCCAAGATGGAGCCTTTTCTCAGCCATTAAAATACGATCCTAGAGCCCTCTGGCCTGTGGAAAAAATAAGAGAGCTGTGACTGCTTACTCCACCCCCAGACTAGTCATCTTACTCTCCAGCCCCTGTTACCTAGGGACCAAAGTCTTCCTCAGTGCTGAATTTGAGACTCAAGTCACCTACATCCGCCTTGAAACTGGGCTTTGAAGCCAGAGTATCCATGACCAATCTCAAAACAGGACCAAGAGCTACTCCCCAAATCTGGGACTCACTGGTCTTCCATACTTCAAATCTAGGGCCTGGAGCAGGACATTCTCAAACCTTGAGCTCTAAACTAAGGATTTTTCAGACCCCATCCAGCTTGGAACCCAGGTTAAGACATGGCCAAATACTGAGCTTAAATCCCAAGTGTCCTCAGCCCTGACCCCAATGAACCCTTGAACCCAGATGACCCTAACCCTCAGCAGACCCAATAGCCTCCCTCCAACTCTGTTTAGAGGTTTCCTCCCTCCCCCACATGTTCCTGATATTGAGGACCAAGGAGTGGGGCTGGCTAGTGATAGCCCCACCTGGGAATGGAGCACATATATTAGTGTTCCTGCAACAATAAAGCCGTTGAATCTCAAGCTAATTTGGCCTCCTGTGTGAAGTTCTTGGACCTTTCAGTGAACAACCCAGTGGCTGTCTTCAGTTCTGCGGGACCATACCTGACTGGTTCAGTGCTGAAAGGGTGACTCCTATGGTCCTCACACCTGCGGCCTCTCAATCAGCATTAAAACACAGGGATGCAGAAGTGGGTGCTGTCATTTTGGATATTCTCTTGTTATAAGCGGGCTAGGAATGTAAGTGCAGGGAGGCAAGTGAAGTCAACACGTGACAGCTGGACATAGTGATCCCAGTAATTCCAGCCCTGGGGAGGCTGAGGCAAGAGGACTAGGAGTTGTGGCCAGCCCTGGCTACATATAATCTAGCTCAAGAAAACAAAACACATGACACTATTGGAAGCTATTTCCAGTGGTTTTTTTCTTCCCATAAAAATATTTGTTTCTGGCTGGGCATGGTTGTACATGCCCTTTATTGCAGTCCAGATAGATCTCCGAGTACAAGGCCAATGTGGTCTACATAGTGAGTTCCAGGCCAGCCAGGGCTATGTAGTCAGTCCCTGTCCTGTCTCCTAAGTATATACACATAATCTGGTCTTAACTAGCGGTGTGGGTTCCTGTGCTGAAGCAGACAAAGAAGCAATCCAGGGGTCAGTTTATATATTTATTATAGAAATCCCCTTCCAGTGTGGGTAGTGTCTTGGGCCCAGATCCATCGGTACAAAAAGAAAATGTAACACCAGGTAAGGGGGTAGGGGAACCCCCAGCTCCAGAAAGTCACAGACAATATAGAAAACACAGCTTATGTGGATTCGTTTAAAAAGTGGTAAATAGAAGGAATGCCAAGGAGGACACGATGCGGCCTTGTGGCCCATGGCCAGATGTCACCTGAGGGTTTAACCACTGCAGCATCCCAGGATGTGGCACACTCAAATGGCTCTGCTTCTTGACAGCCTCTACAGCCTCCTGCCTGGAGAAGCTCAGCAAAGAGGCCATGGGCGGAGACAGAGACAACAGCTCCTTCAGGTACCCCACCTAGACTTCCATCCTTCAAATGTGGACAGGAGCCCATCTGCCCAAGAACTCTAGTGGGAGGAGGCAGGGAGTTTTCTGTTCACAGCAGTATCTTAGCCCCCGAGACTCTATATGGTCCATCTGGTTGAGGCGGGGGTAGTGGCTCATGAATGGAACAGTCTGGGCATAGGAACAGGAATGAACCCAACCAGGAATGAGCTCACAGTTTCCCTTTTAGAAAATCCCTAGTGTTGGGCAAAGACAGTAAATACTAAATCACAACTGTAAACAGAAATGGAGGAAGGGCAGAGTCCCCAAATCATTATCCCCTCTTTGAAGCTAGCTGGGGCCCTCCAGTCCCCCAGCACAGGATGAGAAGAGAAGCAGGGGTATCGGACATCCTCCTGGGCCCAAAAGAAGTCAGGGGTCCTGTGAGACCAAGCAGTTGTCCCTCAGGACCAAGAGCAACCACATCTCAGGGCTCAGCGAGGTCGACCGTGTGTTCCCCAGACTGAAGTATTTCCAGAGCAACAAGGGGCTTATGAGGAAGGGTCAGACCAATGTCCCTGGGGTCTGGGGATCAGAACTGGAAGACTGCTCCCCCTCTAGCGTCAGGTCACTTAAACGAGCACTCAGCTCCGGGGGATACAGGAAGTCCGTGTAGTATCTTTAGAAAGGACAGCAGGAATCCGGAAGACAGGGAAGAAGAGAGGAACAGACAGACAGGACACACACAGAGAGAGGAAAAGAGGCTTGTTAAAGAGGTGGAGACAGGCACAGGACAGCACCTTCAGGCTCTTAAGCATGGGGTATGGAGCTTGGAAGAGAAGGCCAGGGAGTGCACATGTCCCTTCCTCCCAGCACCCTGACTTCAAGGCTCACCGCCAGCTGTCAAGTACTAGGGAGAATAGAAAAAAATCCTTCTAAAGCTTGGGAAAGAACTCCTGCTACCAACATCCAAGATCCCCTCACCAGGACCCCAAAGACTACTGCAGATTATGTCTGACAGTGACCCCATGCCAAGACTACAGCTAGTCTCCTTGTGGTCCCACTCATCAGCTATTTTGACAAAGTGCTCCCTGGTCAGGATACCTTCAGCATCTGATTCAACACCCCTACCCATCAGTAAAAGCACCCCCATACCTGCCGGAGACAGGGGGTGCTGTGAAGCTCCTCGAGTGCGGGAGCGGTGCCTGGCTGGGAGGACCGTATAGTGCCTGGCCCACCTCATAGCAGCGGGCATGGAGGAAGGGTACTTGTGTTGGGCCCACATGTGGGAGCACAGGCCGGCGCTGGGGCCCCATGGCCAGTCCTGAATTCCGGATGTACCAGTCCCGGAGCCCCTCCAGGGCAAGGTTCTTATGGCCACCTCGCTCACCAGCTGGAGGTAGCCGGGCGGGTGGTGGCACCCAGAGTAACGGGTTGGGGTGCACTTCCAGACCCTCCATAGCTTCTGGGGGCAGGCCACAGGGCTTGGAACGGATGGCACGGGTGTTGGGGTCTTTGCTGCGGAGAAGGGGGCTGCTGCCGTCAGCTGCATATATGGGTGGAGGACCAGGGAGCATGGCAAGGAGCCCATCTCTGCGGGAAAGGGGTCCTGGGACTTCAGGAGCAGGCAGCAGATCCCCCCAACCTGCCCCACCAGCACCACGGGGCAAGCCCCTGTCCAATGAATAGTCCAAGAGGAAGTCTCCACATACAGGTGGGAGCCGAGGGGGCCCACGGGATGCAGGGGCAGCTGAGCTAGGCCGGGCAGCCCGAGGAGGGTCTGGGGGGCCAGCGGTGCGGGAGGAGAAGGCAGGGACTGGTTGGGGGCGCTCATACAGCACCTCACTGCTTTTGCAGACTGGGGGACCAGCAGCAGGGGGAGCCAGGGGGGCAGGTGGAGATACAGCTCCCCCAGCAGCTGCCCGGTCCACCAGCAGGGCCTCAGAGCTGTTGCTGCGGCGGGTGCGAGCTGCGAAGAGGGAGGCCCGATCCGAAGCTGGGTCAGGCCGAGGAAAGCCCATCTGGGAGTCCTGACTACCGGACCACTGGCGAGAATGGAGGCCTTCGGGTCTGGAGAGCAGAGGTGCGGGAACAAGAGCAGGGTCAGAAAAAGACGGAAAATGTTGAGTAAAACCCTGACTGTCCCAACTCTTTCTGAACCTCCACTATCTCTAAAATAGGACCAGTATTAGAAGCTGTGTGTGCATGGAGTCGCTAAGTAGTGCATGGAAAGGGCCACTGAGATTTGGTCCCAGACAGGGAAATGTACACCGGGACAGGGCTGCAAGCTCTCGGGGGGATGTAAATGTTTCTGGGAATGCGAAGGAAGCCCTAGCTAAGGAAGGACACATACAGGCACTCTTGTCACCGGGAGCTCCTACTCCCCTGCTAAGGCTATCCTCATGGCTCCTTTCTACCTCCTGAAGGAAGCCCTAGGCCTTATGCCCGGAACTAAAGGCTTTCTGAACTCTAACACACCATGTTTACGAACCATCCCCAAACAATTATCCCACCATGCACAGAATGTATGCCCCCAAAAGACAGGGATTCTGTTCACAACATGGGAAAAGTAGGCATTTAAGTATTTAAGAAACATTAAAGTGCTTTGAGGCTGACTCTAGTTCAAAAAATTTGCATGGGTTCAAATGTCAGAGCTGCGGTTTACTCACAAGTTACTTAGTTAACCTTTCCATGCCTCAGTTTCCACACCTATAAAATGCAAATAATAGCACCTCCTCAGAGGGACCTTAGGATGATAAAGGAGTTGCTCTCCCCCACAAAAGCTACCAGTTAGTAGCAGGCAGTAGGCATCTGATACATGCTACCCAACATGCACTGTACCTGTGTCTTTCAAAGGCAGATATTACACTCACTTCACAAATGAGGAAGGAAAGATTCAGAGAAAGAAAATGACTTATCCAAAAAAACCGCAGCAAAACCCATCCTCAATCTTTCCTGCCTCTGTCTCCAATTCCCACTCCAATTTCTCTCCACCTTCCAAAGCCCAGGTGCCCATGTCCCACATCTTTTGGTAATTTCTATTCAACATCTACAGTCAGAACTAAAGGTTTCCTCCTCTGACACTCAGACCCACCCTCAAGAGTCCCCTTACTTGCAGAGCCGGGGGCCAGTGCCCCGGGTGAGGACAGGGGTGGCAGGCACACTTCGCCCCTCAAAACTGGAGGCACTCCTGGGCAGCGAGCGTGTGGGGCTAGACAGAGATGGCAGGCCCACATCGGGACCCAGGTTAGAAACCGCACCCACCAGTAGGCCCTCCTGCCAACCCAGGCTCGGGATCCCACTCCTAGACCCGGGAAAGGGGGAAAAGGTTCCTCTTTACCTGGTGGGGCTGGCCACAGAGTTGCGCCGGCTCTTCAGGTCCCCGTAAATATCTGATGGGGGAGGTTTCCATGGGGCTCGCCGCTCAGGGCTCCCCCCAGATACTGCCCGAAACTGGTCCCAGGCCTTTGGTGGTGAGGGGCGCTCGGTTAGAGAGAAGCAGCTATGAGGATCCTCTGGGTAGGAGAGAGAATAGGGTAGAGTTCAGTGACAGAGGGCCCGGAAGGGGCGGGGCAGGGCAGGTTTAAAGGGGAGGGGCATGTGCAAGCTAAGAGGTGAAGCATGGCAAGTGTAGAGGCTGCCCTGCAGGTCTAGGGCAGAGGAGGCAGTGAGGTGAAGCTAAGGAAGCCTGGGAACGAAAGGGGCTGAACACAAGAGGATATTCTGAGAGGACACGGGAGGGGGTGGGTGAGCTCAGGTGGTGGGGATAGTTCTCACCATTATCATGACTGGCCCCGGACTCTGAGAGGGAGCTGCTTTCCGAGTGCAGAACTCCATCCTCTACAGGTGAGAAAGGGGAAAGCAGCCTATCACTCCAAGGTCTGGGTTCCATCCCTTCCTGCCACCACTGGATAGGCACCTCAATGGAGACTGCCTTCTGCCTCCTGACTCTAAAGACGCCTCCCCAAGAGTCCATCTTTGCCAGACACAGACCTATAATCCCAGCTACCCAAGAGGCTCCAGGAAGTGGGGTGTGTGTGTGTGTGTGTGTGTGTGTGTGTGTGTGTGTGTGTGTGTGTGAGAGAGAGAGAGAGAGAGAGAGAGAGAGAGAGAGAGAGAGAAGTTCAAGGCATGTCTGGACTATGGAATGTGTTCAAGACCACCTGGGCAACTTACCAAAATCCTGTCTCAAAATAAAGTGAAAACAAAACAAAGGAGCCAAGCAGTGGTGGCGCACGCCTTTAATCCCAGCACTCGGAGGCAGAGACAGGCGGATCTCTGTGAGTTCGAGGCCAGGCTGGTCTACAGAGTGAGTTCCAGGACAGCCAGGGCTACACAGTGAAACCCTGTCTCAAAAACAAAAAATACAAAAAAAACCCAAACCAAACCATACAAACAAACAAAAAAGCAAGGAGCTGGAGAGATGGCTTGGTGGTTAAGAACACTGGCTACCCTTGCAGAGGACCTGGGTTCAGTCCCCACACAACAGTCTATAACTCCAGTTCCAAAGGTTCCAAAGCCTCCACAAGCACCTGTGCACATGTGGTAAACGCAAAAAAATGAATAAATCAAAAAAAAATGAAAAATCTTTTTAAAAAGAAAAAGAAAAAGCCAAGTGATACTGGTGCATGCCTTTAATCCCAGCACTCTGGAGGCAAAGACAGGCGGATCTCTGTGAGTTCGAGGCCAGCCTGGGCTACAGAGCAAGTTCCAGGACAGGCGCAAAGCTACACATAGAAACCCTGTCTCAAAAACCAAAATAAGTAAACAAAAATAAAAGACTGGTTATGTAGTCCCATGGGAGAATGCTTATCTAGAATGCTGGAGGGCCTAGGTTCAACCCTACCATGCATAAAAACATCTACCTTTACCTGAATTCAAGCTCACCATGAACTCAGTATCCATCTTCCTGTGGCCTACGGTTCAAGACCTCTCTTAACCTTAAGTCAGGTTATCACAATTCTCCTTGAGGGATGATTCCCTAAGTCCTGCTCACCTCTCTGCCTTCAATGGCTGCTCAGCCTCTCCACCATTCCCATATGCCTTAGCCACAGTCCATTCTCACGACCATTTTTCACTCACTGGAGAGATGTGGGACCCGGCTTACCTTGGCTGAGCTGAGCAAGGCGTGTGCCCAGGCAGACACCCTGGGCATTGACTGGTGCTCCGGCAGACAGCTGGAGCACCGGGAGGCCAAGGCGGGCTCGGAAGTCCCTGAGCTGCTCCTCCAGCTCATGCAGCCTCCGAAGTGCATCAACCTGTACCTGGCGCCGGCGCCGCCTCTGCTCTCCACTCAGGTCAGGGGCCAGGGCCAGGCGTCGGGCAGCGGCTGCAATCTGCTGCTGCACTGACACCTCCCGCTCCAGGGCCTCAAGAGCCAGTTCCTGCACAAGCCAAGAGGGGCGGCGTAGGACTAAACAATAGAAATGACTACCCAGAAGAGCGCGAAGTTGGCAGAGCCCCTCTACACCGGAAGTGGGGCCTGTTCTTCCTGGGGGAGGCTGTTTGCCCAGGGAAGGAGCTTCTTCATCCTCGGGGGACAGGATGAGGAAGTAGGCCTGTGTATCTTCTAAAGATAGGAAGCTTGTCTTGACACAGTTGGGGTCCAGTACTGCATGGGGAACCCACCTGTTCCAACGCTTTCCCTCCTTAACTCCACCCACTCCTGGATATAAGCCTCATTCCGCCCCTCACCAGCACCATCTTGCTCCCACACCCAACTGCTTACCTCAGCAGGACACAAGGCGTGGTGAGTTGGGTTTGGGTGTGGTGGAGGGTAGACACGAGCAGCAGGGGGCCTCCGGCGTACCAACTGAGGACGTTCCCCAGGCTCCAGTGGGCACTCGGGGGGCAGCTGGCCAGTTAGCTCCTGGAGGGGACGGGGACAGAGACTACAAGGGTCAGTTGGAGAGATGGCATCAAGTAGTAAGGGTGCAAGAAACTGTACCTCCCAAGGGGGCCAGCCCTGCTCGATACTCCACATGTATTAGGTCTCTTCCTCTCAAGAGCTCTGCCCCCCATTGGGCAAAGGAATTTCTGAAATCTGGAGGCCAGAGCTCTTAGTTTTTATAATTATAAAAGCCCACTCCGTATGCTGCATATATAACGTGGGCTGCATCTTCTGAATCCCATTAGTGTGTGTGTGTGTGTGTGTGTGTGTGTGTGTGTGTGTGAGTGAGTGTGTGAGACTCTGTCTCAGAAAACAGATGAATGGCTAGATAGATGGACTAGTAGAAGGGAGGGAAAAATAACTCATCCTGTGTCAGTTTAGGATGGACTCCGTTGCGCAATTTTGGAAACAGCTTTCTCTTTTGGGGGGTTTGGGAGGTTTTAAATTATTCACAAGTCACTATGGGCCTGCATCATATTTCATTGATTCTGTGCCCTCTAAGTCAAACTCTGAGGACAGAGAGGGTGACAAGAAAACTCCTAACTCCCAGCCAAGTAGTTAGGCACGCATCACAGCAGGCTGCCTGCCTAGGCAGCCTGGCTCTCATCCACTCCTGCCCTGGGGCCAGGCCCTCACCGCCTCCTGCAGACACACTTTCCTGAGCTCTTGAAGTTTCAGCCTCAGGGCCTCTTGCAGGGCCTGCCGGCGGTCAAGCAGCCCTCGAAGACGCTCTGACTTCACCTGGGGGGCTGCCTCTCCAAACAGGGCAGCTGCACATGGGGGGAGCAAAGGTCAGGACAGCTAGAACATCCTGGAGCAACGGTGGGGCCAGGGACCCACCCTCCCCAACCAGGCACACGGAGACGCGGGGCAGGGAAGGGGCAGCACGAAGTGGAAGCAGCCACTGACCTGGGGCATTGAAGGTAGGAGAGCTGATCAGCTGACCTTTGACTTCCATCCTTGTACTGTCTGGAGGCTATGGCTGACAGCTGAACAAAGCCTGGCAGTGACACAACACAGGAGGCATTAAGGAGGTATATCCCATGCCACCACCACCACCACCCCCGTCCCTGCCCAGTCCCACTTCCTATGCTCCAGCTAGCAATATAAGTACCCTGGGTCCCACCGGCCTACCTGGCCCGCCCGCTCAGATTCTGTGTCAATGTCTGGACCCACTTGGCCTGGTACCTTGGTTCCCTTCCCATTGAGTGCTAACACAGCAAGTGGGAAGCTGGGAAGACTTACAACGCCTCCACAGAGGCCCATAGGCCACAGCCAGGAGTCTCACCTAGGGAGAGAATTAATGGTACAGATTCAACTGAGTATAACAAGAGTGAGCCCTTATTCAGCCTTGGGTGCCTGGAACAGTTACTTGCTATGTCACAATGAATCTTTGAAACCCCTCAGGCAGGAGCTCCATCATTACCTTTGGAGACGAGGGGTGGAAAGCAGAGAGGTAAAACGAGTGCCCAGTAAAGGGCACAGCATAGGACAACTCTTCTGGTCCTATGCAATCCCTCAATACAGAGCTCCAACCCCACCAATTGCCTCTTGAGCACCTCGGTCCATCTATCAGGCTTGAGGACCTTTGCCCAGGGTGTGACCACAGTCTAGGGAGCTATTTTCAACCTCTTGCCTCTGGAACCTTGTTTCTCACTTAACATTTTGGGGCTGTTTTGGTTTTGGCACATGGTCTCACTCTGTAGCCTGGGCTAGCCTGAAAGTCACTGTGTTTAAGCTGGTCTTGAACTCATGGCAATCCTCCTGCCTTAGCCTCTCACATGCTGGGGTTAAAGGCCGGCACTACCATGCCCAGCTCATTCTGGGGCTTAAATGTCCAGAGGTGGTCCCTGAGCGATGTCGTCTCACAGCTCCTGCTGAACAAGAGAGAGTACCTCCCTGTACTGCCAGGTGGACAGGAGGCATGCTGCCCCAGTGTCTTGGTAGCTCCAGCTCCCCCAAACACTGCTGCACACAGCAAGTAGTCCACAAACGTACACCAGCTGGCTGGACAAGTGTCACTGAGCAGAGCTGGCTCTCTACTTGTCCTAATTCCATCCTGCTGCCCTGATGCAACAAGGAGTGCCCCTTGACCACAGGGTCCCCCAGCCCCTCTTCGCTCCCACTCTGTTCTGAGGCTAGCACAGAAGTTACCCTGCTGGGATGGGTGAGACGCGCCATCCAACAGCCATAGATAACACATTATCTGCCTCTTTTTTCTGTCCCTAGAAGCCCTGGATGACCATGGAGCCTGCTTTGGCTAGCTGCCCGCCCTCCTTCTGCTTCTCTGGAGTTGCTCCCTCCCTCCCACATCCTGCTCAGTCCCCAGCTGGGCAACCAGGTGACATCACCTCCCACCACCTGTTCTAACCTCCAAGGCAGGTGACTGGGAAGATCTAATGGAGACCGCCGAGTTCCCATTTTAACCTACCTTGAAATTCCCAGCTTGTCATGATGGGCTAGAGAAGACCCAGACAACCAAGGAAGCCTGGCGATACGCTCTTTCCCCATTTTCCCACCGTGGAGTATAATCAAACGGCCTAGAAGGTACCCCTAGTTTCTCTGTAGTCTTCCTGACTGTCCCACAGGGTCTGTATCCCTCCCTCAAAAGACTCATGTACTACCTCAACATCAATGGGAAGACAGTCCCCAAAGCCTTTTCTACAAATCCAGCCAGTATGTGCCCTGCAGACGGTCTCCCAAGCCCACCCATCTGAGGTTCAGCACTCCAGCACGGCAGGGTTTCTTTGATACCCCACCTCAGCTTCCTCTGTCCCTCTGCTCCTAGAACACCTGCTTTCCCGACCCATTTTAGTTTGGAAAACTTTCACAAGGCTTGCCTGAATTCTCCTCCACCCCAACAGAAACCCAACTCCCCCGACCCCTGGGCCCATTCACCCCCTTCACCAACATCAGTCTCCTGCTCCACACCAGAGTGCCTCAATCCCTCCTTCTTTAGCAAATCTGAGCATCCTGGAAGTCAACACAGGGTCCAGACAGGAACCCCAACTCCACCCTGTCAGTCTGACCTCAGGGACATAGCTAGGGTATGAGTCACTGGGTCACTGGGTAGGCTAGACACAGGTCAACGCCCCACACCTCCATACCTGACTCAGGAACCTTTTCTTCTGCTCTCCTATGGTCTGCACACTCGCCTTGGGTCTTAGGGCTGCCTCACACCAAGATGAGAGAGTAAGAAAGCAAGCCACCACCACCCCTGCATCACGAACGCACCCTCACACAAACCTCTGAGACCCTCCTGTCAGCTCTAGGGCCCTGTCTTCTCATTCTGTTGTCCTGTTGCTGGGATAGATTGCAGCAAGAGAGCCACAGAGGGCACATGCGGACACACACACACACACACACACACACACACACACACACACACACACCCAGAGGCAGGCCCAGCAGGTTTTTCAGGTCTGCCCTTCTGACACCATAGCCGAGAAAAATTCCTGGCTGTAATGACTGTTTACAACCAAGATACTTCACCTGGGTGGCACTCCAATGCTGTCAATGAGAGTCCCCATTTCCACATCCTGCCACCACTTGAGCAAAGACATACGCAAAGTCTGGACTGCTCCCCAGTGCTCCCCAAACATACAGCACATCCCCTTCCATCACTCTGGTGAACAAACAGAGGGAGGAACAGACGCCCAAACAGCAGTGGTTTTTAAATAGTTCAGCTGGTCTTTCCTGAGCCGATAGCCCTGGTAAAAAAAAAAAAAGGCCACCCTGAAAAGAGGAGAGGAAGTGAGGGATGGGGAAGAGAAGACGAGGATGAGTCTCTTTGCCCCATCCCTCTTCTTCCATTTCCAACCAAGAACTGCTCTTATCAAGAAAGGAAAATGGCCAGGTGGGGATTTGCCCTGCTCCCCAGGCCCTCCTGTACTGAACACTACCCTCCTATCGCTACCTTGTGTCGTCCATGTACTCCTTCCACAGAGCACGCTCTCTGGATGATGGCATCAGGACGCTGTACCCCAGCCCAGCCCTCAATTCCTGTGCCTTCACTGTCTCACACCCCTGGCCCATTGCTCCGAGGTACTCACCTATGCCAGAGTGCTGGCTGAAGCTCCGAATAGCTGAAAAAGAGTAATTGTCTCGTCCAGGCCCTAGCTTTCCTGGCAGTAGACGTGAAAAGCAGTGACTGCTGTCTTGGCTGCCTCCCACGAGGTGAAGGCCCAGCCTACCTGGACAGGAACTGGGCTGGCTCGTACCTTTTAACCCTTACCTGCCTACTTCCACGGCTAGGGCCACCCGTGGGAGGCAGTCTCAGGGGCCAGGGGCCTCACTCAGTGCCCACAGAGCCAAGAAGAAAGCATAGAACTCTCTTCTCACTGCAGACATCTAAGAGAGAACTGGGGAAGAAGGAGCTATGGGAGGAGCCCCTGCCTCTCCTGTCTCTCCTGCTGCCAAGACTCCCCCAGGCCACTGGAGTCTGCTTATACAAGGGAGCACCTCAGGGAATGGGGGCTAGGGAGCTGTGAAGTACACACACACACACACACACACACACACACACACACACACACACTCACACGCCCCTGCCTATACAAGGGAGCACCTCAGGGAATGGGGGCTAGGGAGCTGTGAAGTACACACACACACACAGACACACACATACACACTCACACGCCCCTGCCTATACAAGGGAGCACCTCAGGGAATGGGGGCTAGGGAGCTGTGAAGTACACACACACACACACACACACACACACACACACACACACACACACACCTACCTATAAAAGGTAGCACCTCGTGGCATGGGGTCTAGGAAGCTGTGAGGTTCACACACATGCACACACCCCTGGGTTTGTTACTCTGAGCACGGTGCATCACCTTCTCCAGGCTCTTAGCCTTCCTTCACAGAGCAAGGCAGGGAGAAGAGAAGGTCTTAGGGGCAATTTCTCCCATAATTAGGACACTGGTTTTCTAAATTGCAGAGAGAAGTTAACAGGGTTTCTCTGTGTGGCCCTAGCTGTCCTGGAACTCACTCTGTAGACCAGGTGGCCTCAGACTCACAGAGATCCACCTGCCTCTGCCTCCTGAGTGCTGGGATTAAAGGAAGACACATGCCACCACCGCCCCACAGAAAGCTAACCTTTTTAAGGAGAGACCAGATCTCAAGACACTACCTTCCATAGTCCAGGAAGAAATAATCCTGGTAAACAGACTATAATAACATTTCTGGCCTGGAGCAAAGCTTTATGGCAGGCAAGGAAATTGAGAACTCCAAGTCCCTATAATACCCTTCAACACAACCCTACCTGGGCTCTAAGCCTGTCCTGGGCACATACCAAACATTCTCTACTCCAGGTAAGATGATCTGCTTGGTGACCTCAGAACACAAACCTAATCTGGATCCCTTACAGACGCCCCTGCCATGTATGAACAGGGAGTTCGGTTAGGCTGTTCCCTCCCATACTGGGAAGGAGAGCCTAGAGGAGTTCCCTCAGTCACATGCTATTGAGGCTTCCTGTGCACCTTTCTTCCTGGTTGTGAAATTTATGGTGTGACACACAAAGGACCCTTTCATCTCCTTCCCTCTTTCCCTCCTTTGGTGTGCTGGTGGAGGCAAGCAGCAGGCAGACGAGCAGTTAGCTGAATACTGCTGGGGACTATCCCATTTTTTCTTTTTTCTTTTCTTTTCTTTATTTATTTACTTATTTATTTTGGTTTTTCGATACAGGGTTTCTCCGTGTAGCTTTGGAGCCTATCCTGGATCTTCCAGAGGACCTGAGTTCAATTCCGAGCATCCATATCAGGTGGCTCATAACCTCCTATAACTCCAGTTCCAGGGGGTCTAATACCTCTAGCTTCTAAGGGTACTTGTACACATGTACTCAGACACACACTGCATACACACACACACACACACACACACACACACACACACACACACACACACACGGTTAAAAATTAATTTTTTAAGAAATCTTAAGATTTGGCCAGGCAGTGGTGGCACATACCTTTAATCTCAGCACTTAGGAGACAGAGGCAGGTGGATCTCTGAGTTCAAGGTCAGCCTGGTCTACAGAGTGATTTCCAGGACAGCCAGGGCTACACAGAGAAACCCTGCCTCAAAAAAAATTAAGTTTTTTATTTATTTACTTACTTTTATTTTGTTTTGGAAACAGGGTCTTACTATGCAGTCTCAAGTGTCCTGGAAATCGCTGTGTAGACTATGCTGGCCTCAAACTCATAGAAACCCACCTATCTCTGCCTCCCAGGTCCGGGGATTAAAGGCATGTGCCACCATGCCCTGCTTATTATTTTTATATC